TATTATCCGCTCGGAAGCGAGCAGGACAACAAGCTGCTCTCGCTCACACACCGCACTCGCCTGGCGTTGATGTGTGCTGTGTTTCAGAAACAAGAATTCAAGATGCCAGCACAGTGGTTGGGCTAACCGCCCATCAGTCTGCACTCACTTGCGGCTGCGCACCACTAGTGATCCAGAGGCTTCTGTGGCAGGCTGTGCAGGGGCTGGTATCGTCCTAAGACACCGGGAGGAAGGATTCTTGCTTGACTGGATACCTGCTGATAGTCGCATCTGTGCGGTTCGTTTGGCAATGTCTGTGAAGGAGTCTCGCAAGCGGGAAGTTGATCGATGTCTGTTTGTCGTGTCCACTTATGTCCCAACTGACTACAGCTCCGACACCATCAAGGGCAACTTCTCTGGCGCCCTGAATGCTCTGTTGTGGCGAGCGAAAAGCTCTCAGATATCATGGTGGTTGCCAGAGATGTGAATGCACAAATGGGCAGGGTTAGCGTCGACATGGATTGGACTCGGCACGTACGGACAATGGCGAATGATTGCTTCAGCTGTGTGCTGTTTATGCAGTACTAACTTCCGAAATAGTTGATGTCGTCTGGTCACATGGTGTCCTCCAACGGCAGGCCGACCACAAACTCAAATCGACCACATTGCCATCAGTTACCGACGGCGCGGACCAGTAACTAACTGACTGTTGGTCGTTTTGGAACACATTTGTTGATTCCGGCCACACACTCGTCCGGACTACGTTTTCTATTGCCGCGTAACGTGCGGACAAATGGCTTGGCACCTGAGGGATTGGCAGATGCGAATATTAGACCAGAATCGTCTTCACCACCATCAGATGTGAATTTAGACTGAGGCGACATTGCCACATCTTTGCATAGTGTTGGGAATTTCGCCTCAGTCTAAATTCCCATCTGATGGTGGTGAAGACGATTCTGGTCTAATATTCGCATCTGCCAATCCCTCAGGTGCCAAGCCATTTGTCCGCACGTTACGCGGCAATAGAAAACGTAGTCCGGACGAGTGTGTGGCCGGAATCAACAAATGTGTTCCAAAACGACCAACAGTCAGTTAGTTACTGGTCCGCGCCGTCGGTAACTGATGGCAATGTGGTCGATTTGAGTTTGTGGTCGGCCTGCCGTTGGAGGACACCATGTGACCAGACGACATCAACTATTTCGGAAGTTAGTACTGCATAAACAGCACACAGCTGAAGCAATCATTCGCCATTGTCCGTACGTGCCGAGTCCAATCCATGTCGACGCTAACCCTGCCCATTTGTGCATTCACATCTCTGGCAACCACCATGATATCTGAGAGCTTTTCGCTCGCCACAACAGAGCATTCAGGGCGCCAGAGAAGTTGCCCTTGATGGTGTCGGAGCTGTAGTCAGTTGGGACATAAGTGGACACGACAAACAGACATCGATCAACTTCCCGCTTGCGAGACTCCTTCACAGACATTGCCAAACGAACCGCACAGATGCGACTATCAGCAGGTATCCAGTCAAGCAAGAATCCTTCCTCCCGGTGTCTTAGGACGATACCAGCCCCTGCACAGCCTGCCACAGAAGCCTCTGGATCACTAGTGGTGCGCAGCCGCAAGTGAGTGCAGACTGGGGGGTGGTTAGCCCAACCACTGTTTGTTGTTTCTGAGACACAACACACATCAATTCCAAACGTGTGCTGTGTGAGGGTAAGAGTAGCATGTTGTCCTGCTTGCTTCAGAGTGTGGCAGATAGACTGGGGTCGACGTTTGCAGAGTGATTTCGAGATACACAAAAATGTCTGTGCCATGTGATGAGCAGATGCTGGTCCAGTTTCTTCATGACGATACGGTAACACACACGCGAACGTCTTATGAATATATCGAACAAGAATGAATGGCACGGAGACGGGTTGGTGAAGTGGGATTTGGAACCTTCGGAACTAGAGTAATGCGAGCACGACACGGATGCGAAGAACAACCCCCAGATAATAATAGCAAGTTGAAATATCCAGCAAAAGCATTGGCATTGAATCAGCTAGGCATCCTGGTGCGAGATTGTCCAGGCTTTGGAACGAATCGCCCATTAGATCGATCGAGCGACCGACTTTCTCACCAGTAACTGGTTCGATCGAACTTCAATCGGATGGTGACACTGCGCAACTTGGCCGGCTATCTGCATATTTTAGAGCACAGAGTACCTAGCTTCAACACTGCGCGGCATTCAGAGGTAGACCGTTGTTACCTGTGTGCAGATCTTTCCACAACTCATCGAGCAAAGCATACTCTGCAAATTTCCATCTTTGGTGGTATAATGTCTGTATAGTAATCTAGTTGTAATGCACTACTCATAAGGATGCTGAAAACTCCTCGACAGCCCACGACCGATTTCGCCCTTCTTGGGGCTCATCAGGTAGGCGCAGTCCTTGAGTTTCCGTCAACCTTATGTTCCACTTGAAACCAAATTGCGTGAAATTAGCGAATATGCACTCATTTGCAAATTAATTTGATTTTTCGAGAGACTCACCTGGAACTCAGCTGAATCTCTCGGTTTTGATGTTTCCAGGCAACTGAATGTGCCGCACCAGGTCGCTGCGATATTCGAAATGTCGCGATCATAAGGTTGGTCGGTACACGATGGGCTGGCTGACGACGGCATCGAGAGTCAGGATTCCACCTGGGTGGAAATGTCTTGGAGGCGTGGGGGTCCAGAATTGACACGTCTTGTCCCGGTGTCATGATGTCAGAAGGCAACCCTCTGACCAACGCTAGAAGGCCAATGCTACCGAGCGAACTGTCACATTGGGATTCCGAGAGTGACACGACCCAATCCCTGGTTTATTTGAACCAGAAGCTATAGTTTTCAAATTCTGACGAATAGACAGCTGTTTAAAGGATTGTATGGCCAGATCCGCTTAATAAGTATTTGTCCGTTTGTGCTTGTCGGCTTTCGATGCCGACAGCCTCAATCTCACGAACGGCAAAGTTTGCGTCTCATAAGATTTTTGTTGGCCAGGCACAAGACTGACTGTGACTCTTGTTGGAACCAACGGACACCAGAATTCTTCACTCGACCAAGCTTATCTGCATTGTGCTGGGTGGGGTGTGCATAACAGCTTTGTTGACTCAGTTCAATCTTGGTCGGAAAAAGGTGGAAACAATCAGCGCAAGCCATTGGGGCGACCAGGATTTTGCCGACAGCTTTACAGACGGGAACTCGACGGTGGGCTGCTAAGCCAGCTTTCGATTTGCATTACTTGCCACATTCCTCACATGTGAGCCCCACGAGTCTCTCCCTGTTATATCTGCTGATTCGCCGGCCTGTGGTATCCGCTGCTGACCCGCTCCAGTGCCTAGTGTCGGAGAGAAAAAGACTCACGGAAGGGAACACAATAGTTATCTTCCAAAAAGTGGTTGCGAGAGCGCAAGTGCGTGCGAGTGCGAAAAGTACAACGGCCTCAAGCTTTTCATTGGAAGGACGCTGTCTGAACTTGGTCCAATGCTGACGTACGAGGTCTGGCTTTAGTACGAGGCAGCGACGTGCTGCATACTGCGGAGGAGTTGTCTGTCCTTGATCAACGCTGACTCGCGCTGTCTGGGTTTGATGCAAGGCTGTGACGCGCTGCATATTGAGGAGGCGTTGTCTGTCTGGTCAACACCCAGCGGAGCTGAGAGTCTCCGTACATTCCGGGCATTCAGTGGTTGCTTTCAGGAAGCTGACCTTCCTGATACCTCCGCCTTCTGAATGTCCAACATAAGATTTTCGACGCGGATCAAGTTGTAAAGGTTCCACCCTTTTTCTGGTGCGACCGGTACGGCGTCTTGTTTGCAGCAGTGGATCTGTCTTGAGCGGTACATGCGTAGCAGTGGCTGTAGGTGCTGGTCTTGGGAGATCAAAGGTTTCAAACAGTAGGTTGAGGTCTAGTAACTGTTCTTCCGCTTTTGGGATCTGGCACTGATTCGGCCGTAATTGATTGACATGTCGTTTCCATATCAATGATCCCAGTGCCGTGTTTTCGGACGAATTCGCTAAACTGGCGGGATGTAAACTGAGCACCATTGTCGGACACAATTGTTTCCATGATACCGAATATTGAAAACAAATGTCGCAGTTTAGTGATGGTTGCCATCGTTGTTGTCTCCGACATAATAAAGACTTCAGGCCACTTACTGAATGCATCGACAACGATGAGGAAGCATTGTCCGTTAATTGGTCCGGCAAAATCCACATGGATGCGCGACCATGGTTTTTCTGGC